CTGGAAACGAGCGACCAGGCCGACTCGACAGACGAAGACGCCGGCGTCCTTCCTAGGAGAAGGAAAACTCGCAGTCCTCAACCGGATTCGTCTCCCGAACGTTCCTTTACTGGAGACGAAGGAGAACTCGACTTCGCGCGATACGCAAAAACCGCTGAGGAGCGATCTCCGGTCACTCGCAGCAAACGCCGACAGGGTCAGAAAACTGCTGGCAATCAGACCAAGATTCGCGATCTCCGCGAATACATTACCAAAACTGCCGCGCCCGAGATCGATTGGCTGCTGTACGAGTCTCGGAAAACGCCCTTCACGGCTCGCATCACCGAGATCAAACTGCCCGATCCCGGAAAGCTTAAGGTGCCAACTTACGACGGGACGACCGCTCCCAAAGCGCACCTGCAAGCGTTCCAGATCACCATGGGACGAGCCAAACTCAAGGACCACGAAAAAGACGCAGGTTACTGCCGCCTCTTCGTCGAAAACCCTAGTTTGCCTAAAATTCTTCTCTATAGTTTGCCTAAACAAACCCTAGTTTGTTCGCGGAAAAACTCTAGGTTATTCACGAAAAAACCCTAGTTTGTTCGCGGAAACACCCTAAGTTATTCGCGACAAAACCCTAGGTTGTTCGCGGAAAAACCCTAGGTTACTCACGGAAAGCACCCTAGGTTTTTCGCAGAACAAACCGTAAGTTACTCGCGAAATAAACCCTAGGATACTCGCGGCTGTTCGCAAAAAAAAAATCATTAGGTAACTCGCGGAAAAACCGTAGGTTACCTGCGGCAAAACCCTAGCTTTACCCGCGGAGAAGTCCTAGGTCACTCGCGGAAAAACCCTAGGTTATTCGCGACAAAACCCTAGGTTATTCGCGAAAGAACTTTAGGCTACTCACAGAATCGGGCAATACTATCCAGCCGAAAAGACGGTGAGTTGGCCAAGCAACCTAGCTTGCCATCTTGGCAAGCTGACCGGCTTTCCACCTCGTCCCAGAGGCACTGACTTTTTCCCAAGGGTCCACACAATCCAACTCTTAGCTACGGTGAGCCCGATCGTACTCTAAACAATAATCGCGCTGCTTTTCGTTTCGTCTCAATCGGACTTTCCGCTGAGATTCTACGACGAAAACGAGTCAACTCGACGGATCGAGATCATCCAAACCAGGAGTCTAGGCTCGCCAAACGTTAAGCTAAACCAAGCGTCTTAGCTCGCCAAACGTAGAGCTAAACCAAGCGCCTAGCTCACCTAAGATACGCTGACTTCGCCCCAAGGGTTCTTACCATCCAGGTCGCCACACGGCGAGCTGAAAAGGTTCACCCGACTTACCATACGTCGAGCTGAACCAGTCCTCGAGTTTCTCTCCCGAGTCTTGATCGTGCTGATTCTCGTTTCTACTCAATCGGAATTTCCATCGGGATTTTACGATAAAACCGCGAATACTTGTTACTTCGTATAAGTCCGAATCAATCGTCTAAAACGGCAACGGTTGACTTAACACAAAAGTTGCCTAAACTACACGAGAAATCTGAACTCTCTAAACCTAATACGATATTACGAAACTCTGCCACGCTAAGTCGAAAACATCCAATCATAAACACGTGATTGATTTTTTCGATATACGATGCGCAGCTAGTCGGCCGAATAAAACCAGCAGTACAAAGAAACAAGAACACGAGCTCTGATGGTTGACTCTTCTCCCCGCTCCGATACTCTCGCTGGTAATTCGTCAAAGACCGGTAGGTCAAAAGATGAAGAACGAAGAATAGACGACCCCAAATCATCGATGAAGCTAAGGTATGTCCGATTCGAAAATTTTATTAGACTTCTAATTTCTCATAGGTAAGAAACGTCTTGTAAACTGCCAAGAAACCTAGAGAACTTAGGATTTAGAAGATAGTCTAGCGTGCTAAGTCGTAAGCAATTTTTGTCTATCTCGATTTGTTGTTCTCTAACCATTCAGGCATAACTCGCAAACCGATCCAATCTCTCGTACACCGAGAAACGATCGCCACGCATTCAAACGTACTCATTTCCTAAAAGAAAGAAGGAGCTAGAGACTCTGACGTCGTCTTAAAACCGACTCGCTCCTAGAAGTTTTCGTAGATCAGACATACTCCAAGCCATCTCCGATCCACCATGGTCTTTAATCGACCCGGATTGTCGATCATCCCATTCCTTCAAACGAAACTCGTCTTTCTTCTTTCTCCGAACATTTTTCCTCGCATCAAGAAAACGCTTTCTAAAATAAGCGGAAAAATNGAAATCTTTAGGTGTCAACGCACTGATCTTATTCTCCGTCGAACCAAGTGAGTCACGGAATAATATCAAGAACATTTGCGGCAAAAAGAAAAATCGAGAACACAAAGCAGCAATCGAGAACATGTCCTTCCGTCTCGCCGACTGATCCTATTGCTGGTCATGTGATTCATTCCGTCCGAGAAACCCGCTAAAACATTTTTCGACTAGATCTCGGTGAAATAACTTTTGGTAAAACTCCGCGAGTGACTCCAAAAAAAAAACTATCACCGAAGAATCAAAAACTAAGTGGAAAGGTTTCTCGAAAAATCTGCGGAAACATTGTTAACCCAATGCGTCGTGCCGATTTACTAAATTCATCACCCGTTACTTACGCGAGAAATCCTTCGTATAGTCAGGATCATGTCATAACGAAGTAACTTTCAAAAATGAATGTAACAGGTTGTGCGAAAAGTACTTTCCTTATAGAAAAAACCAAGCTATACGATCCGGCACTGGGCGGCCAATCTAAACTTTGCCTTCTCGCGACACGATCTGAAAGATCTCACTCTTTAGCCCATCGGTTCACGAGCATCCGCTCTCATTCCTCCCGATTACATCCGAGAATGAGATCGCCCCGCAAACGACTCCGCACGGGCTTTGCATCGAGCTTCTTAGGATCTGTCTCCCTCGGGTAAAAAAGAAACAACTTCCATACAAAGGAAATTTTATACGAAACTTTCATCGTATAAATCAAACCTACAACGGAAAAACGTTTTCTACAACCACGGGCATACTTGGCATATCAAGCTCGACAAACGTTACTTGGCTATTGTCCGATCACGCTTCAATGCCAAGTTTACAAACCGACTCGATCTTTTCGATAGCACGAAAGTGTCGTGGTCTGATCCTCTACCAAATACGACTTTGGTCGTGCGGCTGAAAACAACCTTCACGCCAAGCCAATACGTTCAACGGATAATGCAAACTTGTCGAAAATCAGCTAAGTTCTG